GCCCTCCCAAGTTAGGTAATAATTTACAAAGTTATTGCTCCTGTGAGCTGCATAGTATTCCATTGTGTGAATGTACCATAATTTCTCAAGCCATTCATTTGTGGTTGGACAATTGGGCACTGTGATGCTGTAACAGTAATTTCTTAATTATGTTGGATGCTAGATTGCTTTCAGTAATGATAAATTTATTATTTTAATTCATTTTTTAAAATTTTATTATTTTGTATGTGTGTACCATCGAATCAGATCCGACTGGCACAGGAGGGGATTGCCCCTCCTCCTCCCACAGAGTCAGTAGTAGATTCAAACTATGTACCTTCGAGATTGCAGTGCAGCTTCTTGCCACTAGGCCACCAGAGCTCCCTCAGTAGTGCATTTTTGCAGTATTAAGTAGAAGCCCATTTACATGTTCAGTGACTCAGGAAAATCTTAGCAGATTTAACTGAAATAATTTCTAATACTTTCTTCTTTTCTAAAATTCTCTATTTTCTTTATTATGTTTGAGTTGAAGATGATCTACCATGCACAGTTCCCCAACTTTGAACTTTTTGTTCCTTATGAAATGCTGAGAATTCAAATTGGTGCTTTATCCTAATTTACCATCACCGTTCCTCTTAAGTGCCCTCAAGCTGACTACTACTCAAAGGTGCCCTGTGGACCTTGAACGCTATGATTGAAACTTTGCCCTCGCCTTGCTGTCCTCACAGTCTCTGCCATGCTTAAGGCCATTGTTGTGGTCACTGTGCCGGTGTGTCTTGGGGAGAATCTTTCTGTCTTTCGCTGGCCTACTTTTCTCATCATGATTTATATCTTTTTCTAAGGAATGGCTCTTGCTGATTATACACTCAAAGTACATGAAGTGAACTTTCATCATCTTTGCCTTTAAGAAATACCCTGGAAATATTTTCTCAAAGATGGATTTATTCATTCTTTGCAAAATTCATGATATATTCAGTTTTTTTTCCCCTCAAAACCTTAGGGAGCTCTTGTAGCCTAGTGGCAGGAATCTGTGCTGCAATCCCTAAGGCAGGTGGTTTGAGTCCACCAGCTGTTGTGGGAGAAGGATGGGCAATCTCCTCCCATGCAAGTAACTACCTCTGAAAACCCGCTTGACAGTCAGCTATGGGTTGGTTCCGACTCTACAGTACAGAGCAACAACAACGTCATTCAAAAGCATCAATTCTTCTTTGGGCTTCCTTTCATTGTCCAACTTTCAGATGCAAAGAAAACAGTTGAAAATACCATGGTTTGGGTCAGGCACACCTTAGTCTTTAAACTGACAGTCCATACTTTACTAGTACTTTAAAGAAGTGTTTGACAGCAGATTTGTCCGATGTCTTTTGATTTCTAAACTGTTGTTTGCGTGGGTGTTGATTCTGGATCCAAATGATATAAAATCATTGACAACTATGGTTTTTCTCTTTCACTGGACTGGAAGAAAACCTAAGTAAAACTTTTCTTAACAGATTTTTTTAATGGAATTTTTTAACGGAAACAATGAAATAACTAAAACCAAAAATACATCTTCAGAAAAAATTCTTTAGTGTTTGGAATATTATAATTCAGCCTTCATTATTCTTCTTGTATTAGTTTTAAGATGTTTGCCAATACATTTTTTTAGCCTATAAAGTATGTACACTTCTTCCTAAAAGCTCAGGTGGCCTAGTGGTAAGGGGCTGTGCTGCTAACCCAGAGGCATGCAGTTCAAATCCACCAGCTGCTCTGTAGGAGAAAGATTGGCAGTCTCCTCCCATGCAGTCTACTGTCTCTGGAAACCTGCTGAAGGGTCAACTATGTATTGGTTCTGACTTGACAGTGCTCAGCAACAATCTCCTGCCTTATCAACAATTTCTTTTTCATTTTACAATAGAACTGTCTTAGTTGTTCTTCTATAATCAGTTCCTTCCATTATGACAGCATTTTAATTTGCTACAAGAGATGCATTTTTCCATCTACTGACTGACTCCCTCAGAATGCTAGAATGTGACCAGTGTTTGCTTCTACTCAGGCTTTTCCATCCTCTTTACTTCTGATTTCAGTGGATAATTCTTTGCTGTTAGGGCTGCCCTCTGCATTGTAGGATGTTTAACTCTAGATGAACCCTTCCATTCCAGGAGTGATTATTGAAAATGTCTGTGGACATTGCCAAATATCCCTGAAGTCCACAGTTTCCCAGATTGAGAACTATCTCCGGAACTTCTAGTTCTCCCAAGGTAGAGTGGTTGGTTTTCTAGAAAAAAGAAACTTGTGATTTTTAATATTAATTTGTTGTTGTTATGTGTCATTGAGTCAGCTGTAACTCATAGCGACCTTATAAACTATAGCTCTGAGCCCTGCCCTATTCCTGAGCATGTATCATGGTCTCACACACTATCTATCCCCATTGCCACTGTCACTGTGTCAGTTCATCTCATCCAAGGTCTTCCTCTCCTCTGCTAACTGTCCACCCTTCCGAGCACGATGTCCTCCAGAGACAATCCTTCTTGGCAGCGTGCCCGACGTATGTGAGAATGGAGCTTCACAACCCTTGATTCCAAGGAGCAACCTGGTTTTACCTTGGGAGTAAATGCTAAGCTGTTATTCTCTTGGGCCAAAAGGAAGGGGTGGTGAAGCTTTCTATGTAGATAGACTTTAGTTAGTCTGCTTTGTAGCCTCTTTAATCTCGACCTTCTTTCCTACCATTACATTATCTGGCCTTCTCTGCAAAGTCTGACTTGAATGCCTACTTGAGTCTCCATCTGCAATGTCTGAGACCTGCTTGCTCCACTCATCAACATTTTATGGCCCCAGAAACAAATTGAAATCCTTCATCAATTAATAATTCCTATTCTGTGTGCCAGTATATGTTTGTTCCCTTTTGTTTCCTTTGCTGTAATTTTAACAGGCTACCATGAAAGACGCATGAGAATCCGACACAGCTGGAATCGGCTCATTTTTTTTTTTATAATAACAAACCTTAGAGAAGATATGTTCACATTTATGCACCAACCAAGTGCCATATTCTGACCTGTCTCCGTTTCTTCTTACCCGTTGTCTTCCAGGGCTCATTATCCTGGGACCTATTCAGTCAGGGATGCAAAATTGACCAAGAAGAAACTTTGGTCTTCTGAAGATTTTAGCACTTATAATAATGACGTGGGTGCAGGTTGCTGGGCTCGCATATTGAATCAGAATTATGTCAATGGTCTAATGACTTCGTAAGTTATTAAAACTTTTTAAGCTTTCTATGATACAGTGGTTAAAAAGTACTGATATGTAGAAAAAAATTTGTAATGGATAATCATATTCTCACAACCTAGGGTTAATGATGTTAAACATTTCACTTATTTGTTTCACTTATATCGATACTTATCCCTAAATCAATGGCCGTCAAGTATGTTGAAGTTCATGACAACTACGTGTATGCCAGGGCAGAGTTGCTTTCTGTAGGGTTTCCAAATTTCGATTCTTTTGAAGTACATCACTAGACTTTCTTCCTGAGGAGTCTCAGGGACTTGAATCTCTAACCTTTGGGCTAGTAACCGAGTGTCTTAACCACCCAAAACCTCTTTTACCTGTTTTTATTCTGTATCTGCTTATCTTCCTCTAAAAAGCCAGACTTACTGAACTGTGATGTGTATGAGTACACACTCACACACACACACACACACACAGTAAAAGTCATGCAGATGTAAGATTTTTTTGTAACTAGTATATTTATTTCTGTGAATCAGAATAAATATAACAGCAACTAAAAACAACGTACAGTTTTAGTGAACAGTTACAAATTCTAGATGTCCTGACATGCTACTTCTAAATATTTTATCATGCATTGCTACATGACCACATTGTTATTTTCTTACACAACAGTCTATGTAGTGTTTCAAAGACTGAGTCTGTATTCAGATTTTCCCACTTGTTCCCTCAAAATGTCATTAGTAGCATTTGGTTTGTGTTTGTTTTTAACCAAGATTTATGCAGACACCATGCATTGCATGCTTGTAGCTCTTCATTTCCCTTGAGTCTTGTAAAACCTGAAAGAGTATTCCTCCTTCCCAATGTCTCGTGACCTGGATTGGTTTGTTGGTTCCTTCCTCCCCCTGCCCCCAGTCTCAGGCTGCCTGATTCCTTTCTTCAGGCCTCCCTTAGCTTGTGTAAGGGGCGTTCTGGTGGTTTAGTTCTCTGGAAGTAGCTCACACAGAGGCGGTGCCTGGCGTTTCAAATCCACCAGTGACTCTGAGGGAGAGAGATGAGCAGTCTCCTCCCATGTGATGTATGGCCTCAGATAACCAGTGGAGGGTCAGCCAAGAGTCAATTCCAGTGGTTGATGGCCATGAGAGTTGAGAGTAACTCATATAACTGTTTTGTTTAAACAGACATTCTTAAGGGAGATTCAAACCCTCAAACCCCAAACGCATTGCGTTTGACTAAATTCCAACTCATGTTGGCCCTCCATCAAGTTTCGGAGTAGCCAGCCTCATCTTTTTCCTGTGGTGCTTTTGAACTGCCAACCCTTTAGTTAACAACCCAATTCATAACTCATGATCGTCACACAGACTCCTTTATAGGAGAATACTGTTTTGTCTCAAAGGGAAACATTTCTTAAATGATTTGAAAATACCTCAATTATAATTACAAATTATCATTCCAAAGCAATGATGAAAAAATAAGCAAGGTGAGCATCCTTTAGTGATGCTGTGAATGTGACCTGCTTTATTCTGCTAGCCTATGTTTACCATCTCTTTTTTTGAAAGCAAAAATACTTCTCATGGAAACTTTGGTTCGATAACTTAAATTGATTGTAAGAATAATTCATGGGTATGGCAGAGAAATTAGAAATAACAAGCAAGTATAAACAAAGAAACAGAATTATCCAAAATTTTGCCACCCTTAAAAATTTTGATATATGTCCTTCCAATTGATATTTATATTTTTAATACAAAATTGGTATAATTTTTACCAAAATTATTTTTTTAAAATGGTAACATTACAGTGTATTTAGTTGGTCGCCTTTCACGTAACAGGGCATAGTGAAGTGTCTATTTCATCATTTTAATCTTCTGCTTATTCTCCTACATAAAGCAGTATTTCTCAAACTTGGCTGACTGCTCAAACCTTTAATGAACGCGTGAGATGCTCTCCATACCAATTCACTGGCAGCTGCTCTGACCTGCTGCTTTCAGATATCAGGGTGGCTCCTGGGATTCTTGTCCATCTAGTCAGGACTAAGGTGGTTCTGACGCCATACAGGTTTGGAAATGGTGAAACAGATGGAATGGTGTCACATTGACTTGTCTTTCTTATAAATGGAAATCATTTGTATTTTTACATTTCAATTCAGATCTTTGAACATACTGAAATGAAGCATAGCTTTGTACACATCTACAGCTATTTCCTCAGGGTGTGTTCTTATGTCTGGAATGGCAGAGTCAGAACAAACTGACGATATTTTCTTCTACCAGCTTAGGAGGATACCATTTCCTAGGCAAAAAGGAAAGTGGGTATAATCTTGAGAATGAATTTTTTTCAAATTTTTACTGATTAAAAGGCTTTCTGAAAACCGGGACAATGTATTATTTCTACTTTGTGTTGACAGAATTAAAAGACTTGTATTTTCTACCAATATTCTATCATATTTTGATTGATAAAGTCTTGGTAAATATTTTTACTGGTAACCTTGAGCTTTTTAGCTGTGAGGAGCCTACGAGGACCAGGATTCAGAGCTTTCCTGTTTGCCAGGTAGACTCATGGCTGTCCTTTGGATTTTCTGAGAACCATGTAGTCATCATCTCAGGGTTCAGGAACTGCTGTGGACTGCGACAGTCCAATCTTCTGAAAGAACAGATGACAAAAAGCAGGCCAGCAGACTGACACCGATTCGTACTCATTAAAAGAAGCGGAGTAAGAGCAGACAGTCTGTGTTTGAACACATTTGGTCCTCACAACAATCACATGAGTTAGGTTCAGTTGCCATCGTCATTTTACACATGAGGAAACTGAGCTCCAGAGAGGGTAAGTGGTGGGGCCATGATTTGAACCCAGGCAGTCTGACTCTGAGACCTGACTTCTCATTTGTAAAAGTCTGGAACCGTTCAGAGTCGAGGTCCTAAAATTATGTCCTGAAACTGAGGTATTGAGAAGGCTGCCTGTTGAATGGAAGGCAGGTATGGATAAAGCCTTTGTGTTTGACTCACATTTGAGTCTTGACTTGTTCCTGACTGATGGATAAGGGCATGTTCCGGCGACACCATCGTTTCAGTAAACAATTTGTGCAAGTCATTTGTATATGTGTTTTTTAATTAAGTGACTCACAATTCCAATGACTAGATGTGTATAACCCTGGATTTTTAAAACTATGAGTGAATGTAGGCAACTGTATTTCCTTGTTGAGAGGTCATTTATATGAACTCTTATCAAGTGTTTGTGTTGTTTTTTTTTTAATACAGACTTCTAGAGTCAACCTTTTTACCACAAGTTGTCTTGAGATTTCTCTTTTCTCAAACACATCTTTTAGCACCATTGCCTGGAATTTGCTGGCCGGTTACTATGAACAATTACCTTATGGGGGATGCGGCTTGATGACGGCTCAGGAGCCATGGAGCGGGCACTACATGGTAGAAGCTCCCATCTGGGTATCAGGTATGGTTCAGATTACTCAACCTGCTTCCTAAGTCTTCTTTAAGAGACAAAGAGAAAACCCTTCGAGGGGAAGCACGCAGAGTTAGTGTGTGCGCATGCACGCGCGCACGCCTGTTATGTGCATATGCATATGTATTCACGCATATGAGTAATATGAATAACACATTTGTTTTAAGCAAGATGGGCCGTCAGATTTCAAAAGAATCATTTGAGTAATTAGATTTCCTTTTGTATTCCATTATTGCTTATTAATTTAAAACCGGTGGCTCTTAGAGAAAATAGCAAAGTGTGTATATATTGCATTAATATTTATAAATAAATACATAAATAAAAAACACATTAGTATTTATTAATTCTCTAGTCCATGTTGCTGGTGGCCTAGTGGTAAGAAGCTGCACTGCAATCTCAAAGGCATGTGGTTCTAATCCAGCAGCTGCTCCATGGGAAAAGGAAGGGCAGTCTCCTCCTATGTGTTTTACTGCCTCTGAGAACCCACTGGAGGGTCAGCTCTGGGTCATTTCAGACTCAATGGCATTCAACAACAACAACAGAAAAGTAAAATAAGTACATGTAAAAAATTATGAAATATCATATATTTTATTGTATCTCTCAGAAAAAAAGGAAAAATCAAGACTTTTGCACAAATATAAAAATGAGCACATGTTAAAGAATGCCTGTGACTCTTATAATAGGAGAGAATTAACCAGATGTTGTAACTACTTCAAAGTAAAAGCACTCATTTATATGGAGGCAAGGAAATTGAAGTGAATTACAAATGGAAACAAACTGGTTTTTCCACAGCAGACAGAAAGTTAATAAATACCTTACGTTACAGAACACAGGACATGAGTTAATTCTTTACTAGCTATCTAAAATCTACAGAAGTTGCAAAATAGTTCAAATGTAATGAGCATGGATATTCATCCTTTTCCAATGAAACATAAAATTATTCTGTAGTATCATTTATTCTGTAGATCAGTTGGCCCAGTGAACAGAAAGTGATGCTACCAAGCCAAAGGTGGGTGACTCTAATCCGCGGCCCTCAGTCATGTTTTTAATTGCTTTTGGTGAAACATTCTTCTAGGTTGTATAGTCCTGGTCTGTCCACTTGCTGTACAGAGGTAACCCATGGTTGCTGTGAAACTGAACATTGTGACACTGATGTGTCAAATGCGAGAATGGTTACCCATGGTGGACAGTGTTTGGTGGAGCTCCCCAGTTAAAACAAGCTTGGAAGCAGGAGTGGCATCCACTTCCAAAATAGCTTGCCTCTGGAAACCCTATGAACCTGGAGAAAGGATGAAAGCTATACAGGTGTCCAGGTCTTTCGTTCATAGGATCGCTGTGAGTCGCCTATGACCCAACGGCACTTAACAACAACAGTATCATTAATAACAAGGCAAGTTGTGCTGCAAAAAGTAGATTGCAGGGTATAATTTTTTTTTTCCACCACAAGACTAAAGTATTCATACCAATAATAAGGAGCCCAGGTGGCGTAGTGCACAATGTGTCATGCTGATAAATAAAAGGTCCAAGGTACAAATCCACCAAGCTGCTCCTGGGAAGAAAGATGGGCAGTCCTCACCCACAAATATCTGGACCCTGAAAAACTTGATGAGGGTTGGTTGCTATGAATTGAAATCAACTCTGTGACAGTGGCTTTTTTATACCAATGTTATTGTTGTTGTTATGTGCCGTCAAGTCATTTGCGACTCAGAGCGACCCTACCCTACGTACAAGAGCCCTAAACCCTGCTCTATCCTGTCCAACCTCACCGTCTCTGACACACCTACTCCCATTACCCCATCGCTGAACTGATCTATCTCATCAAAGGTCTTCCTCTCCTGTGCTCTCCCTCCACCCTCCCAAACGTGATAGTGAATATAATTCAAATTATCTTGTTGGATTAACTTGAAGTTATTTTCTATATTTTTTTTTGGTGGAAAAAAGAAATATAATTTGGTTTTAACATTATAACTGTCATTTCTTGTTAAAATCAGTTCCTTCAAAGGTAAGAAAATGATGACTTCAAAGTACATTTGTTTTCATTTTAAATTCTTATGGGAGTAATTTTCTTTTTTAATTGGTGTGCTTTCCTTATAAAGACTTAAAGTCATGACAGTGAATTGGATTGTTACAAAATATGGAAAAATAAAGATGAACTTAAATATTTTTAATAACTTTTTAAATGTTGAACTTGTTTATTCCATATTAGGTAGGTAGAGTAATGTCCTCTGCTGGTTATTTAACTTATTTTGGGAGAGTAAAGAAATGGAATAATTGTTTAGTATAGTTTCAGGACTGTAAGTCTTTGTATTATGCAGATTAACTTGTTTGTAACTATAAAGTTGATATTTTTTAAATGCATGACCATTTTAAAATTTCCTGTCTTGTTTTTATATAATGATGATTCAAAAGAAATGAACACATTTTTTTGGCAGGCAATAACAGTATTGGGGAAAGAAAGTAAGACTTATATTATTGAATTTTTGATTGATTCTTGAATCACAAAACATGGCTTTTGATTTTCAGGAAGACTATTTTTACCAGCCTTGAAACACTTTTCATATAATTGTACCATTTAACTGGATCGCAGTAGGTATTTTCCTCTGGATGAACACAAATGTTTGGCTTGTCTGACTTAAAATCTGTGTTATGAATTAGTAGTAAAACCCCCTCACCTCTCCCTTCCCTCTCCCCTCCTTTTTAAAGGACTCATTATTGCTATTGTGTCTTACTTGAGGTTTTCTCCATTTTTCTATAGCTCATACCACTCAGTTCACAAAACCAGGCTGGTATTACCTGAAGACAGTTGGGCGTTTAGAGAAAGGGGGAAGCTACGTAGCCCTGACCGATGGTTTAGGTAACCTCACCATCATCATTGAAACTATGGTAAGGTTTTGTTGTTACTATTAATTCTACTGCTGCCAAAACCACAGAATGACACAACACTGAAGACATTTTTTTAAAGAAGCAGCTTTACTGAGGTGTAATTGGATTTATGAAATATTATAAAATGGGCAATTTCATATGCTTTAAGATGTATATACACTCAAGAAGCCATCTTCATGATCAAGATAGTGAAGTAAACACAGTCCTTTCTAATTCCTGGCTCCGGGTCCTTCCTATACACTTGTGGATTCCCAAGCTGGCCACTGCTTTGTGAAGTCTCTGGTGTTGCTTTATAAAAAGTGCAGCCTCTACTTGTATACCATCATCCTAAGAGAATAATAATTTTCCCCACCACTGGTTTTTACTATTTCTTCCTGGTTCATGCCTCTTTGTTAAGTTCTACTTAACTTTGTTAAGTTGTTGATTAATTGCTGTTTTGTTTTCAACAATATGCAGGAATTCAGCATGTTCCAGTTGTTGTTGTTAGATGCAGTAATCAGCTGCAGAGTCTTTGCGAACCTGAGTCCAAGGCAATGAAACTTTGTCCTAGTCTCCAATTTGATTCTGCCTTATTTGCAGGGGTGGTTTTTGAGATCGGTATTTGAGGTTTCTTCTGACTCAGGAAATCTCTCTCTTTCCTTGGTAAACTAGTTGGGCTATGTTGTGGTTGTATAGCATGGAGTTGGAACTGACCCATAGCTGACCCTCCAGCAGGTTGTCAGAGGCAGTTAATTGCAGGGGAGGAGACTGCCCATCTTTCTCCCACGGATCGAACAGGATCGAACGGCTGGTGGGCTCCAACTGCATGACTTTGGGATTGCAGTGCAGCTTCTTACCACTAGGCCAATAGTTTAGTCTAAATCTCTGAGGAAGCCATCATCTCTTCTTAATGACTTCAGCCTTATATTTTTTATTTTGAGAGTGTGCTTTCAAACTTGAATTACCTCAGTAATTTTCAAATACAGTCAATTCAGTTAGTTGCCCTGGGGGGAAAAACTTTGACGTTCTGTGTTTTGTGAACTTCTTGATGCAATGGTTCATGAACTTGGCTGCTAACTGAAAGATCAGCCTTGGAACCTTTGGCTGCTTTAATATTAAACATTGTTTTGTTAGTGTAATTGATATGTGCGTCTATGTAGTGCACCATGATACCATTCATTTGAGAGTAGAACTCTCAAATCTTAGGCATAGTTTTCATGAGTTCTAAGTAAGCTATTTTAGGTTCAAAGGTTTTAAATAGGCCCAAAGTCGAGGACGTTTATGTATGGATCTCCTTAGAGACAGCTTCTGTTAACTGGAGTTTGTTGTTTTGGTGTGTGTTTTGTTCTTTCTCACCATACAGTATGTGTGTTTTCCTCACTATTTATGTGGTGCTCAATTTTTTGTTGAAATGTGGAAATTTCAAATAATGTTTCAGCTGGAAACAAGATTTTTCCCTCCCCTCTTTTTTTTAATTTTATAACTTTATTCGTAATACCAAAAGCATATTTTATAAGCTCAAATTGAAAACTATTCCTCACTCCTTGATGTGGTTAGGCTCCAAAACCCAAGGTGTTTTTTTTTTTTATTATTAATTAATTTTTCATTTCAATGAACATCTACAGAGATTTGGGAATTCCATTCATTCATTGTTGCACCCCTCTCCGCACCCACCCCACTTCCACCCCTTCCCCCTGGTTTGCTCTTCTCCTTGAAAAGCAAAAGAAAAACTCCCTCATTGGTACACAACCCCCCCCCCGCACTTCCCCCAACCCCACCCCCAAATATAATCCACTCTGCAACCCTCATTGCGTACTCCTACGATAAACACAATGCCCTAAAATAGAATACTCTTAGATTACAATCTTTACTCAGAAAATCTGAATTAGCTGCATCCCCACCTTTGATATCCCTAAACTCGAAGAGTTTCCCGAAACCCAGGC